CCCTCAGAGCTGTCACTGGAGAGACTGCAGGGACACAGCAGTGTCCTGCCCCAGCCCAGCAGCCCTGCCAGCCACCCCCTGCCCCACACCAGCCCGTACCTCCAGAAGGGTGAGGGCCAAGCGGACGCCCCTGGCCCTGCTCCCGTCAGCGGTGGGCAGCACCTCCTGGGGGCTGCGCTGGAACTTCAGCCCCCACTCCCGGGGGGCTGCCGCCTGCCCCACCACAGCCTGCGCCTCCACCGCCTTCTCCCCAGGCTGCTCCAGGGCCGTCTTCATCATCAGCTCCGTCAGTCGCTTCCTGGGCCTGGGGGCATCTAGGGAGAGAGAGAGAGATCTTCAGGAGGGGACCCACAGCAAAAGCCCCCCCGGGACACAGCACGGAGCCAAGGCCACGCCAAGGCAGTTTCAGTGGTGTGTGAGTGTCCGCTTGGAGTTTGTCATGCTGACAGCAGCCCCACGCCTTTGAGATGACAAACTGCAAGTCAAAGTGACCACAAGAGCTCCTGAGGCCTGAGGCCAGTGGGACACACAAATCAAAGCCTGCGATTTTGCTGTCTTGCTGGTGCTCGGAGGCAGCAGCCTGTGGAGAAGAGCAAGTCTCTGGACACCCTTGAACTTGGCGTTTTCTTTTCAGCTTTGCAGGAAGCTCTTAAATCAACAGCTTTGGGATCTCTCTCCTGCATGGTTCCCCTAGCCCTCCTGAACATCCTGCCCTCATCACTCAGGGACTAAGTGTCACTCCCTAGCAGCAAAGGGCCTGCACAAACAGGCTGTTCCCTTGTCTTCGTGGCCTCCTAGCACTCTGAGGATGAGCCACACCATAGTCACCTGGCTTTCACATGCCATGTATTAAGCAGAGGTTAAGCAAGAGGTTCTGTGATGTACCTTCTGAGCATCTCCAGATCACTCCTGGATGCTCGCCTGCCAAGCTGAGCCCCTGTCCAGAGGAGTGTGGCACACTTCCCTCACCTTTGATAGCATTTTCAAGGCCTGTGAAGTCAGCAGGGTTCAGGACAGGTCTGGTCCCAGGCAGGTTTATCATCTCCCGCAGCTCCTGGCAATTTGAGGCAGGAAGGTGTTACCTCCAGCACAGAGAGGCTGTCCAGCAGCCCCAGGCCCCCTTCCCCAGCAGTTCAGGCTAGGAGCTAGCAAGGCTAGGAGCTAGCAAAGGGGTGCAGGAAGGAGGACCCCTGGGTTCCCCACCCACCCCCAGACCACCTCTCCCCAGCAGGGAGGTGCCCTCCAGCCCCCGGCCTTACCTTGATAGTGAAAGCAACCTGGAGAGGTCCCCTCCTCCCAACCAGCCAGACTCGCTTCACCTTGCTGCAGGCCAGAGCTGCCAGGGAGCTGTCAGTGATGTCTGTCTTCTGCAAGACAGAGACAGGAGTGGGCCGAGGGCAGATCTGGAGGGAGCTGGGGGAAGGCACAGCCTCTGAAGGTGAAACAGCAGCAGAAAAGTGGCTGTGCATGCCGAGAGCCCGGGCGAGGACGGAAAACAAGTCATCTCCCTTTGCACAGAGCTATTTGCACAGCTGGTCCCTCATTGCTGAATGTACTTTCCAAGGCCATAATGCACCAGAGGTAACGAGCCAGCACCCAGGAGAATGCCTCAGGGGATCCACCCAGGCAGGTTAACCTTGGGGCTAACGGATCTCCGTGATCTCCATTTTGAGGTGCCTGCAGATGCTGTTGAGTGACTTCCTAGCTCAGGACATGCAGGCATTTGGGTGAAACCCCCACAAACCACAGCTCAGCTCACTGCCTGCCTGCCCCAGGCAGCTCCAAGCACAAACTCAATCATTGCCAGGGCTCGACTGATCATTGGCATCTTGCAGCAACCCCACACACTTTGAATCGTGCACATCTGTCTAGATCACGAGAAGATCTTTTTTTAGAGAAGACACGATGGGAAGGACACTAGGTAGCCAGGAGAAACCATTCCAGACCAATATTCTTAACAGAAACTGCCTGCACACCCTAGCATTCATTTCCAGTGCTGTGTCCTTTGCAGCACTGCTTCCCAGCTGGCTTTAGCAAACTGGTTGGCAGTGCCTCCCAGTTCAGTTTTTTTAATTTAATTTAGATACTAATACAGGAGGTTGTTGCAGAGCTGTACCAACCCTTGCGGTGTTTCTCCAGGAGGAAGAGTCTTTGCCAACATCTGGGGCAGCAGCTGGATGGAGCAGCTGGTGCACACCAGCTCCCAGCCACCTATAGGGCAGCATGGCAGCAGAAGGAGAGGTCCACCAGCTTGGACCAGCCACCAGTGTCCCCAGTGCTACCAGCAGAAACCAGGCAGCAACCCTCAGCTACAGTAGCAAAGAAAATAAAAATCCCAACAGGACAAGCTTCTAAAGGAAGGGATGAAGCTCAGCTGCCAACTTCTGAGGTACCAGCAGCAATCCAAAGAGCTCTGCAGCGTTACCCAAGGCACGGCCACGGCCTCAGGTCTCTCCCTGTGGACTGTGAATCCATAGGGTGCACCCGAGAGGCAGCCGCCTTCCCTGGGGGAAGATCCCAAAGACAGGAGAGTCTGAGGGCTTGCCGAGACGGGTGGGAACCAGCACCCACAGAGCAGGGAGTGAACCTGGGCCCCAGGCTGGCTCCCTGGTGCTGTGCCTCACCCTGAGGAGATGCAGGGGGGACAGGAGGATCCGGGCGACGTCCAGCGCCACGTTGCCGTGACCCAGCACCAGCGCCGTGTCGCAGCTCAGGTCGGGCTTCAGCTGTGGGGAGAAAGACCCATCTGCCAGCCCATCCACCCAGCCTGCATGGGGCCTGCCCCCTCAGACCCGCTCCTGCCACCCCAATTCCCTTCCGCCTCTCTTTTCCCCCAAACTGAGATGGTGCAGATGGGGGAACTCCACACCAGCTTCCTCCCCAAGCAGCCACAGTAACACAGCAGCTCTGGGCACCCCAGTGGGTCTCTCTTCCTGTGATGGCATCTCTGGGAGCAGGAGCTGGTTTGGCCTCGTTAGGTCAAAGCAGAGCATCATCTCTGCCAGGTTCCCATCTGTCCTGGCCAAAACGTGCTGCCAGCCTACAGAGCCAGCTAATCCACTCTCACTGATGTGCAAATTGTCCACATTTCTACCTTCTAAGGATTTAACATGGCACCTGATAATCTTCTCCAATTGTGGGCCTTTCAGGACTTAATCTGGGGCTGAACGCCCACGTGGGGATGAAGGGCAGGGAAACACCCCACAGGACAGGGAGGAAGGAAGGGCAGGGAAACACCCCACTGTACTCACGTCCTGGTTCTCGGGCAGCCCGTTGTACCAGCCCACGAATGCTCGGGCTGAATAAACTCCAGGGAGGTTCTCCCCTGGGATCCCCAGCACCCTGTTATCTTCAGCACCGTAACTCTGGGGAGGGAGCAGACACAGTCAGAGATGGCACTGTGTGCAGGGTTTGATACCAAACCACCAATGTCCCCTTCCAGCTGCTGCCAGGGACCCTGAGCAGCTGCCAGCCCTTCCCAAGGCCTGGAATACTGAATGGAGGGGCTTAAACACAGCCTGAGCTCAGGGGCTCCATCCACTCCATCCCCCCTGGGATCCAGAGCCAAACTTGACCACTTTGGGCCACGGGAGAGAACAACAAGCTGAGGACTGACCGGGAAGGACAAACCCACGTCAGGCTGAAACAGGGATTGGCCATTGCAGGGAAGAGGCTCCTCAACTGCTGCCCCTTGCAGAGGGGTTTTGGGACCTGCGTTTGACGCTACGCTCCCCGCAAGGCTTCAGAGGAGCCTCATCCCATCTGAGCCGTCCCGAGGCCGGGGAGCGCTTACCAGGGTGCTAGGGCACCCCGAAACACCTCTCTCCAGCCCTCTTCCCGAGCTCCCGGGGGACGATGCCGCGGGCTGCGCCCGTCAC